TCAGAGCTAAAAAAGTGCAAAAACGCAGGCAAATTTGCCTGCGTTGGTCTACATATTAAGGGATAAGGTAAAGTCAATAGAAAAGAGACAAATTTTTTCTAAGTAAAAGTTTCTTAACTTTAAGCTTAAATATTTTAACAATTATCTTATTAAATTTAATAATTATTTTTTTATTTTAATTATTTATAATTTCAAAATTAAAATAAAAAAATTTTAAGCAAATTTGGTTAATTAGTTGTTAAAATATTTTAATTTAAAAATTAAAAAATTTTACTAAAAATAATTTGTCTCTTTTCTATTGACTTCACCTCATATGTTTGAAAGGGAAATATTATTCTTTCTCTAACTTTTTGTTAGTGTTTCTAATTTTAAGCTAATACATCTTCTAATTTCATCTTGCTTCTGAGTGAACTATTTAATTAACTTCATGAATATTTAAAACACAACATATCCTGCATCTTTACTTGCATTGTTATGCAGATTATATATATTTATAGCATACATAACTGCGTATGGGCAAATTTTTTCGATTTGTGTAGATCAGACCCAAAAATTAGATTAATTCTAATCAATTTTGTAGATTATTAGGCCTTTGGAGATGAGTTGAAGATGAGTTTTCCAAAGGCCAAATAATCTACAAAACTAACTAGAATTAACCTAATTTTTGGAGTCTGATCTACACAAATTGAAAAAATCTGCCTATATGGTAGCATTTATGAATCTATAAAAAATATAATTTCTAACATAATATTAGCTTTAGCTATTGATTTAAGCCAAGCTTAACAAAGCTAAACTGAGGCAGCTTGAGCTAAGTATAACCCAAGCTATGGCTTAAACCAGATAAGAATAGCTCCAGTCATAGCTGAAATTATTGGCTTTAGTTATAGTTCAAAGCTATTTTTCATAGCTAAGCTTTGAGCATATATTATTATAATCTGTTATATGAATAAAAATAAATCACGATTATATACATAACCTATTTTATAAGATATAATATAAAGAATAACTTAACATATATATATATATATATATATATACTATATTATATACCGCGAAAAAACGACTATGGGCGTTATTTTGAGGCTCGGCCTGAATTAAGCTTAATTTAGGCCAAAATTTATAATTTCACCCCACGCGTTATTTCATGGTATATATCGTAGAAGTGCTAAAAATGAGATTCCAAACTTTAATTCTATTATTTATTATTTTTATAATATATATTTATATATATATATTATACAATTAATCTCTAATAGATGATATTATTATAAAATTTATAATTTAAGCTAAAGCCATATTTTAACTAGTTTAAGCCATAATTTAAACCATAGTTTAATTCATCTGGCTTATTATGTCAGCTATAATTTTAGCCACATTAATAACCATAGCTTAAACTATCCCTTAAACCATATAGCATACAAATTTGTACACTAAAATTTTTGACGATCTACTGTGCCTTATTTTATTATGTCTTTAACCTCTAGTTCCTAAGCTAGAATTGAAGCGTAATGTATGTTAATCATCACATGATTTACAGTTTCTTCTACTTTGGTTTAGATTGTGTATTGAGTAACTTGATAATCGATCATTTTCTCTTTACCTACTAAATGAATTTTTATTGCTTTAAAATAAATAATTAATGACAAGAAATAAAAAAAAAAATAACATACTTATATTAAATTAACTGAAATAGCTTATTGAGCAATTGAGCAATAAAATATAAAAAAAAAAACTTGTGAACTTAAAAAAAAAAACTTGCGAACTTAAAAAAAAAAAAAAAAAATTGAAAAATAAAAAACAAATATCTCCTGAAGTTGGTTCGAGTAGTTCAAGTGCATCAAGTTCGGCCTCACTGGAATTTCAGGAAGATAGTGAAGAAAAATACATACTAATTTTGACCTTTTACCAATCTTCCTTGGACGATCCGGATTCTGAATTTGACAGAAATGACGACGACGACAATGATACTACAGAAATAAACACTAAAAGTAGTCGTAAGAGAAAGCGAACTCCAGCAAAAATTGTTCAACAAAGGCTGCCACCACCACCAAGCAATTTTGAGCATTTTATTCATTCGAAACCACTGCATCAGGCGTCTATTACTCGGTTGCTGTCTCACCTTGACGTTGGCTCTTTAAGCCAATTGATATTTTTCTTTTTTTTTTTACAACATCCATATTAAACATTGTAGTAACTAACATGAACATGTATGCATTAACCAAAAATGCCAGGGATTATGGTAGACAGTGGCAAGACTTAACTCGCAAAGAGCTCATAATTTGAATCGCATTGATAATTTATCAAGGACTTTTTAAGTCCCCTTCTCTTGAACAATTCTGGAACGAGAATCCAAAGTTTCCTGTTTACCAAGTCTCAAAGCAAATGTCATTGATACGCTTCGAACAAATTAAAAGGTTTTTGCATATATCCTCTCCTGCAACAACAATTAATAATTACTTCGAAAAATTAGAGCCGTTGCTTTCACATATTCGAGATACTTCAAAGCGTCTTTATGTACCCAGTTCAAATGTTTCAGTTGACGAAATGATGATACGATTTTTCAGCAGAAGCGTTCATACAGTTTGGATAAAGAACAAGCCAACCCCTGAGGGGTTCAAGGTTCTATTGCTTTGTGATGTGGGATACACATACACTTTTCTACCAATGTCGCATGTTGTTCCAAGTGATATTGATAAAACAAATGATCTTAGTCAAACTGGGTCTCTTGTTTTCCACCTCGTCGAGCAACTTCCCTATTAGCAATTTCCATACAATATATATATAAATAATTATTTTAGCAGTGTCTCTCTTTTCTAGCATCTTTGTCAGAATAATATTGGTGCCTGTGGGACTGTTCGAAGGAATTCCTCCAGATTTCCAAAAGAATTGAAAGTGGAAAAAAATACTAAACTTGATTGGGACATCCGTTCTGGTGTTATTATTAATAGTGTAATGGCTTTTTTTTGGCAGGATAATGGCCCTGTTACGATGTTATTAATGATACATGGTCTTGTCAGTAAAGAATGAGAAGTAATACGGGAAAGACAACGACCAAGCAAACCAGTACCAATGTGGCTAAGGTTAGTGTTTTTTAATTCATAACATTTCAACACACCACTAACTATGTATAAACAATACTGATAAGGTATGTGAGGTGTTCGGTTCCGAATCAAAAAAAAACTGAAATTTCCAAAGATTGTTGACGATTACAATCACTACATGAACGGCATGGATCTTGTAGACCAATTGCAGTCGTATTACAGTACGCAAAAAATAGCACGAAGGAACTGGATACCTCTTTTTTTTTGGCTCCTTGATACTGCAATTATCAACACCTACCTGATCGCTAAAACTATGGAGTCAGTTCAAGAACACAAAGAATTCTGCTACAGTCTTGTTTGGGAACTCTTAAACTTTGCCGATGATAGCGAAATTCAACTAAGAAATAACGAAAAAAAAAAAAAACTAGATCTAAAAAAACAAACTGGCAAAAAGTAACGAAGCATTTTGAACTATCTGATAGGAGGTTGATGCCAGGAGACCACCTTGTTGAGCATAGAGAAAAGCATGAAGCATGCATGTGATGCTCTTAGATGGCAAACCAAAAAAAATTGGACATAAGCCACAAATCTCCAAATCGGAGTAACTTTTGGTGCATCGCATGTGATGTACCACTCTGTTGCAATAAAACCCGGAATTGTTTTCTAGAATTCCATAAAAAAAAATAATAAATAAATAAATAAAGGCCAGTTTACATTGTTTTACATTGCTTTGCAATTTTTTAGTATTTTAATAAAATTACTCGTGATTGTCCCGATGTAATTAATAAATTGATCATTTCACAAAATAGAAGTCTTTATAACCTCTCTTGTGTTATGGATTACTAAATACACGGGTGGCTCTTAATGTTACAATTATTTAAATACGTATTACATAAACTGGATTAATTAGGATAGCCCCCAAGAGTTTGGGCAAAATTACATACTTTATTGGCCATAGCACGAACATGTGTCTTTTTTGTCACGTCACGTGGTTATGCCGACTTGCTTTTTTGGAGCGTATCACGTGACCCAGGTTCTTGGGTATTATTTTAGCCGATTTAAGCAAAGTTTGATGCATTTAAAAATTTTTTTTGATTTTACCTTATTTATACTAATTTTAGCATACAAATTTGTACGCTAAAATATACGGTTTAAGGGATAGTTTGGCTACGTATAAATTCAGTAATTCATGAGCCAAGCCAAGATAATCAAGCCAGTTACATCTCTACTGGGCGCAAATATCTAAACATACGTTTTTGACCTCAAAAATGTTTGCGCAGTTGTGTCAGATGTCAGAAATAGTATTTTTTTTATATGAAGCCTTCGAATATGTGATTCAAATTGCTTATCAGTTATGATATTATATACCCTTAAATTGCCATTTTTCCCAAATACTGTAAAACGGTGCAAGGGATAAAGAAAATTAATTTACACCAGTGTACGTATAAAAACACGAATACAATTTGTAGATCCATAATACAAAATTAAAGGTTGCTAGAGTAATCACTATATGGGATCTTTGCTAGGAAAATTACCCTTCGGGATTTTCCGATCGGGCTACTATTCATATGTAAACCGTCTTTTTACTTTACTGATTCGACAGTAACTATTGAATTACATATGAATAAGAACTGGCCCGATCGGAAAACCCCGAAGGGTGATTTTCCTAGCAAAGATCCCATATAGTGTACAAATAGCAATTGCCAGGTTAAAATATTAGTAACAGTTACATTATCGGAGATTGGGTAAACGTTTAAGATTTTGGGATATTTGGGGTTTGGCCGAACACATTTCCAATCAAAAACTGCCGTAGTGACTTAATCCGAACTGACCCAGTAACCGCTACAGATTATCACCAAATTAACATTTTTGTATGACAATAAATTTTAAATTATCTTAGCAGATAATACAGTAATAGCAGATCAACTTTTTTTTTTTTTTTTTTGAGAAAAAAGTAAAATGGAACAAAGTGCTCAGTTTGATCTTTATCCACCGAGGAAATGGTTAGCTCAATATAATTACATATTTCAAAGCCTTGAACGCATCTACTTGAAATAGTTATCGAAAATGTTGTCGGTAACAAAAATACTAATGTTCAATACAGCTCCGCGACCAACCGTCTAATTACTGCAAAAGACCATGCTTCCGTTCAGATTAATGTTGGAGAGGTTGACGAGAAAGGTCGCTTCACCAATACATATACAACCTATGCTTTATGCGGTTTCGTTCGTTGTTCGGGAGAATCTGATGACTCCTTAAACCGGTTGGCTACAAGGGACGGCTGTAAGTTTTACATTTTGATTCGTTATTTTTATTTTTTAAAAAAAAAACAATGTTAACAATAGACCTTATTCTTTTTATCAATAGTTCTTAAGAAGTAAGAATTACATACATATTTGAATTATTATTGCATTCAAACTATATGCTAATATAATTTTTTTCAGTGTTTGGACATACCAACGTTAAAAAGTAATTGATTAGATCATAATGGACCTCAGGTCTTTATGGCGATTTGGTTCTTATTATCTGCTATCATCAATAATTGAAACAATACGTATTAGGTTTTTTATAATAAAGCATTCGAGAATATGTAATTGAATGTTCAGTGCATATATAATATAAAAAAACAAAATTAGTTCGAAAGAATAATTGTTAGTGCATTTTGTAAGTAGGCAGTAAAATAATAATCTAGAAGTTGGACTCTAGGGTACTAAAGTGTATATTGATAAACCTTTACCATTGTACTGTACGATATTTATTAAGTGTTATATTGTTAAATTGTTATAATACTTTTTTTATACCCTTGACGATTTCTATTGGGTTACACGGCCATAATGAGTCGTGCAAAGGGTTTTGCAAAATTGGGAATCCTATCAGTCATATATCTATACTATCTTATTGTTAGTTTTCTAAAATTATTGGCCATTTTCCACTCGAATTTCGAACAAAATTTTAAAAAGTTTATTATTTACGATTCGAAGGCTTATTTTGGATGTGAAAAGGTTTCTTTCACTTTTTCACTTAGTGTACATATTAGATATAACTATTAGACCTAACATATAACTTTTATTCAATTAATTTTCTTAATTTGAACGAAAAAACGAAAATTTAATAATATTATTATAACGTTAACAAATTTGATTGGTTTTTGAGTTATTATCCCAAATGAAGTAGAAATCTCGGTTCACAAATCCTAAGTATGTAATAATGTCGTAATTCAAAAGGAAGGTTTCCCTATGTAATACCATTCAACGAACTTAGTCCATGCTAGATAATGGTTTCAAATTAATCAATTTATAGTTAGTATATATAAACGGTGAGCAAATAAATTGATATTAAAGGACGTTGTAGAATAGAGAATTAATAGTTACCCCAGAAAGAAAACTTTCGACCTAGCCACCGTCCTATGAATGGAAGTATAAGTACGACGAGGATCTGTTGAGTTTGTTCAAGTAAATCTTCCCAATCTTCGTCAGTCATGTCAGAAGCTACATCGTCCTGAATATTTGGTGTTGGAGGAGGAGGAGTTCCTATTTCAGGTATTTCCTCGGAGTCTTCTAGATATACAGGCGGAACTTGAGAAATTGGGATGGCCCGTTCCGTAACTGAGTTATAACTAGTCATAACTTTTTTGCTTTAACGGCTTGCTATAACTTGCGTATGTGCCGATAAAATTATCAGTCGATCAAGATGTCACACCTAATTTTTTATCATATGATTTTCATAAATTACACAAATCAACGAAATCACGTTTTTAAAAAAGTCTTCTTAAAACAAATAAGTTGCCAAGGCTTTAACGAATCGAACGGTTAACTTTTTATATGTGCCGTAACTCGATTTTTTATGTCGTAACTTGCCGTGTAAATACCGTTATCCGACATTTCATATGATCATGTGAATTTTTTTGCCATGATATTTTTTGCATAATCAGTTTTGCAAAACATCA